AAATTTAGTTAGTAAAAAAACATTCTTTTCTAATTCAATCTGATAAAAAAAAATTAATTATAACGTAAAATAATTCTATCAAAAATAACAACTTTTACAAATTATATCGAAAAAAAAAATTAAATATATTTATGTAATTTCAATAAAAATTTCATCATAAAAAAATCAATTTTTCGAGATGGAAAGAATAAAAAAAAAATATATGTAAATAATTCATTATTATAGCAATTTCATAATCTAACATCATTATGATAATAATTTGAATTTATTTTTAGATAATTTATAATGATTTATAACGAATTTCAATCAGTTTTCTATTAAAAAATATAAAGGAATATTGATTTTTTTTTCTTAGAAAATATTTAAAAAGTATTAAACACTAAACCATAATAATAATAAAAAAAATTCCTTCTTTATGGCGCATAAAAATGAAATACAAGCAAAAAAAAATTTTATTTATAATTTTACACGAGGGAAATATATTTAAAACTATTTTGAAGAAAAAAATTAGAATATTTCTTTCTTTAAATGGCACATTTTGAACAAGTTATACACCATTATTATCCTATGATAAATCATTATTACCTTTCATCTGCGAATGGATTCTCTTCAATTCTGCCGAAATTTCTTCAAAATAAAGAAGACTTGCCCTTTCTACGTCACTCGGTTCTGGTACAGGAAGCTTTAAATTATCAATATTTGTATCCTAAATAATGATAATTAAGTTTAATTTCCATTAAGTTAAGAAAAATTGCGTACAAAACTCACTCCAACCCCCCATACCTTGTTATAAAGTTTAACGTATATTTTAACGATATAATGTAAGAGAGTTAATGTATTATCCTGTAAATAAAATGGTAAATTTTAAGTTTATAATTTAAAAAATATATATATATATATGATATAATAAATTAATTAATATTTACTTTACTACGGATGTCTTTCAATCGCTGCAATATCTCCAAACCGAATCCATCAGCTTGACCACGGCTCTTACTTCCTAATTATATTGAATTATAATTAATTCTGGTAAAAATAATTAATAAAAATAACTGTTTATGCTTTTTTAAATACTCATAATTATAATATTTAAGTTATTTAATTTAATACGAGAGATTTTTAGCTTGGATACTTGCCGCCATTCATGTAATTTCCTAGTGTCAGTATGATGTTGAGAACATCTTGCAAAGAGCGACTCGTCAGCATAAACTAGAGAAAAAAATATAAAAATTTTCAACAGTTATAATGATTTTACTGTCTTTTTTTTACTCATTTTATTTCTTCTTTTCTAGCTTGATATTGAGATAAATTACTGCAGCGTGACTTATGGTCATTGTCACAAAGCATCAGATGAAAAATGTACTTTGTCTCTTGTAGAGCGTTGTTATTTCCTAATTCTTTTTGATTTTTGTTTTCTTTTAAAAAAAAATCTACTTGATATGCTGCAATCTGAAAATTTTATTGCTTCTAATTTATTTCCAGAGACAATTTATTAATTTTTTAATGTTTTATTTTCCTTGTAAAATTTTTGCTTTTAAATTCCAATTCTTTTTGGAATTAAATCGTCTCAGATTTTTTTTGTTGATTTACGTTTTTAATTATTTTGGAAATGAATTTGATTGAACTTATTGAATTTTTCTCCGTTTAATTTAATTTATTTTTGTAAAATTAAATATATAAAAAAAATTATATANATATTTTTAAGGGATAAGCCATAAAATCATTAAAATTTTTTATATACGATCTCGACCTGTAATAACGACCGCCTCGTAACAACGACCACCTCTAAACGGCGGTCATTTCTTCGAGAACTTTTCGTTTTGATATGAATATAAAAACAACCTTCAAACAACGGCCATCAGAAGAATCTTTCGGGACAAAAATCCATACAAAATAACCTGTTTAAAATGGCCATCAGAAGAATCTTTCGGGACAAAAAAACCATACAAAATAACCTGTTTAAAATGGCCACCAGAAGAATCTTTCGGGACAAAAAAGCATACAAAATAACCTCTCTAAAATGGCCATCAGAAGAATCTTTCGGGAAAAAAAAGCATACAAAATAACCTCTCTAAAATAGCCATCAGAAGAATCTTTCGGGACAAAAAAGCATACAAAATAACCCGCAAACACAAGAAACATTTTTTATAAGAAAAAAAACGTATAAATATAAAAAAATTCTTTAATTATAAGCGAAAATTTCGTATTAATTCATAAAAATGTGTACCCCATTTCTGTACTTTAATTATGTTTCATTTAACGAACATTTTACCTTTTCTAACGGCGCACGGTGCATTTGGAACGTTATTAGTTTATCGCACAAATTCTTAATTTTGTAGATAAAATTGTAAATTAAAGTGTAGGAAACTGAACATCATTAAATTCTCTCTTGTACAAGTATTTTTTTCCCCCTCTCTCATTTGCTTGATGAATCACGACGAGTGATGCGGAAACATCTCACATCGAAAAGTTCATTTATCGACAATTACGCGGACTGCACCTTTCAAATGTACTAATAAAACAGCTACATATTACTTAATAATTGACGTAATTAAGTCGAAAGGTAAATACAGTCCAACCTCTCCACCACGGCCACTGACGGAAGCGTAAAAAAATTCGCTGTTGTTCGGAGGTAGATGCTATCTGGAGGTTATTTTATAGACATTTTATACAAAATATTCCGTAAAAATAGCCGCCGTTTAAAGGTAGACGTTATTAGAGGTGTTTACGTTCCGTTTTAGACAGGTTTCACTGTAGTTTACAGAAATTAAGGCAATTTTCTTTTACGTTGGTGGGATGTTGACGTTAAGGATGAGGAGCGGAGGATGCTATTATAATTACTATTATTATTATAAAATCGGTATTGTTTTATATATTTTAGAAAAATTAGTTATAAAATTTTCTAAGAAAGTCGGTAACAAAGTTTCATAGAGGATATAATGCATATTTATAAAAGAGATAATAATATAACATAATTTGTAGCGATAAGAAAGTTTTCTTTAAGCAAATATTGATTTTATTACTTTTATTAGTCTCTAGTAAGAGGCAAGTTCAGTAACCTGACGTTAACACAAGATATATTTTCTTATCTAAAATACATTTTTGATAAAATTACACGTAAAAATTCCACGTTAGTGTTGTTGAAGTGTTTAAAATAATGAAAAAAAACTATAATTGTAAACCGAATTTCGATGCAGATTCGAAATTTAAGTGATCTAAAACCGTTTTATCTTTATTAAATTACAGTAAAACCTATCTAAAATGGAATCTCAATACAACGAAAACCTGCCTAAACGGAGAAAACAGATTGTTTTTTTTAACAGGTTTCCGTTTTAGACAGGTTTAGGCAAGTTTCCGTTTTAGACAGGTTTTACTGTATTCAATTAAGATAAACAGTTCGGAGGTTTGGCTGCATTTTACTTATTTTTATTATTTATTTATTTATTTTTTAGTACTTTGATCGCCGACAAATACATGTCGTTAGGTAAGAGAGGTAATTGTACTTTCCCAGGACTGCGTACAAATGTACAAAAATAATCCTTAAACATACTAGTTATTTTTTTTTTACGGAAATTTTATAATTATAAATCGGATTTTCGAAGGCAATCAGATCCGCAAAAGAGAATTAATTAATAAAGAATTGTGCGGCCTTCACGTTTCATAGGATACAAAGTATTAAACCATTCGAAGTTCTCGTATATAAATTAAATTTTTAGAAAGAAAAAACAGGAAATAAATAAAAAAAAAGACAATTTGTATATCTTATTATTCATGAATTTTAGAGAAGAACAACGAACATTCGAACGTGATTGTCGTCCAATTGCACAAACAACGCCTAAGCTTATTATTATTATTATTTAAACGTAGTTAAATTATATAAATAATCTTCATTTCTAGTAATTATAATTACATAATTACGGCTATTAAAAACGAAAAGTATAGCTATAATTTTACCAATTTAAATTGCCGTTATTTATTTGTTTTGGGTGGTATTTTAAGCGTTATTAACCTCCAAAAATGCCAGGAATAAAAAAATACACGAGTGAAGATTAAGAACCGTATTAATTAATTGTTACAGAAGCGAAATTTTTTCGGAATTCCGTACACGTGATTGTTACAGATGTAAGTGAGTTCCCCCTCTCTCTACATATTTATGTAATAAAGAATCTCCGGGATGCATTATTAAGCTAGGAATACTTGTTTTGCGATTACAGGACTGACAAACATGTTATCGGAGGATAGCCTGATTTCAAACGTTGTTTTGCTGGCAACAATCCAAAGCATCAATAGTGTGACACTTCCAAATTATCTCCTCCCCTTTTTTTTTAATGCCGACATCTTTAAATATTCATCATGTTTTACTTTATTAAGAAAACAATAATTATTATTACTTAATAAATTCATTTATTGTAATGAAAAATCAACAAAAAAATTAATTTATTCTGTTGAAAAATAAGTAAAAATATTCATTTATTCTGTTGAAAAATCAGCAAAATGATTAATTTGTTCTGTTAAAAAATTATCAAAAGAAAAAAATTCATTTATTCTGTTTTCATTTGTTCCATACAATATCATATCATGGTATTGTTGAAGTTGGTCGAGGTCGAAGGCATAATTTATATTAAATGACATCTTAGAAGAATATTTTGATTATATTTTTTAAAATGTTTAGGAAAGGAAATTATCTTTAAAACAAAAGAAACATTTAAACTTTTCATACCGTGTAAAATTACTTTTCTTTGTCTCTCGCTAACCTAAATGCTGCTAAATTCACGCTTTTTCTGGCTGTCTACATTCTAAATACCCGATTTTTTTTATTATTCTTGTTGACAATTGAAGTTTTTTAAACACACACACACCAAAAAAAAAATTCCCTACAATTAAAAAATATTCTTTAATACATAAAATCTTAATTAAGCGCTCCGCAAAACATGCATTTTAATGGCAAAATATTTAAAATATTTAAATTGATTTAAGAATAAATTAAATTAAATTAAAATTCGTGAATTTTTATACTTATTTTTTTAATGATATAAATAAGATAATTGAATTTATCTGTATTAAAAAATATAAACGGTTTCTAAACAAACTACATTAAAAAAAACATTAAAATTACATTATTTATTACATTTTTTTACAGTTTAAAATTTATAATTGGATAGAATAAATATTATAATTTAAAATTCAATAGATAAAAGGTTTTGAATTCTTTAAAAATATATATATATTTTTTTTCTGGAAATGAATCGTTGTAACGCCCATAGACAGATGTTTATTTTTGTGTAAATTTAATTTAATAAATTAATAATAAAAAAAAGCAACAAACAGTTAAAACATTCCACTTTATTTTCAGCATTTGTGCATAGATATATGGAGACATCACTGCGAAGACAACATGATTATTTATTTATTTTTTAGTACTTTGATCGCCGACAAATACATGTCGTTAGGTAAGAGAGGTAATTGTACTTTCCCAGGACTGCGTACAAATGTACAAAAATAATCCTTAAACATACTAGTTATTTTTTTTTTACGGAAATTTTATAATTATAAATCGGATTTTCGAAGGCAATCAGATCCGCAAAAGAGAATTAATTAATAAAGAATTGTGCGGCCTTCACGTTTCATAGGATACAAAGTATTAAACCATTCGAAGTTCTCGTATATAAATTAAATTTTTAGAAAGAAAAAACAGGAAATAAATAAAAAAAAAGACAATTTGTATATCTTATTATTCATGAATTTTAGAGAAGAACAACGAACATTCGAACGTGATTGTCGTCCAATTTGCACAAACAACGCCTAAGCTTATTATTATTATTATTATTATTATCTTATTTTCTTTTATATATGTATATATATATATATATGTATATATAACATACAGTACATATTTTTATAACTATATCCAATAATAAAATGTAAAAATTATATAAACACTAACAATAAAAATGAAAAAATTTGTAAAAATTTCCTCTTAAAAGTAAACAATTTTTTTTCTTTTTTTTCCCTTCTTTTCTCAAAAGTGTTGAGCAACTGTAAACAAGATATGTGTGCAATAAAATTATATTTATATATATATATATATAT